ACCATCGGTATTTACAGTGGTTTCTGCACTTCACACATGCTGACCTCTACTTATTGTGCTGTGCTTGTTCGTGGTGTGTAAACCACCCAAAACCCCAGAATCTGGTGCTGCGTCCGCGCTAATTGGAAGAAAGACTCGAGCCTTGCCCAACCAACAATGACACTGGAAACCCCGATTGTTTCTGCGTACTTGCTTTTGTTGTCATTCATCAGAAATCCTCTTTTCATCACCAAGAAGCACAAAATTGGCTCCTGAGTCCGTTATCAGTGCCGAGAACTCAACGAGCTCTTACAATCTGCCAACATCACAGCTTTTAAGTATTGACATTGATGGTTCGGAAAAGAATTAGTCTCCCTCCACCACACTCCAAGTACGTCCGATCAGAAGTAAAGTCTGTCGAGCTTGTTAAGCTTTGAAACACGAATGGGCTGCTCACGTCTTTATGTCATGTGGAATGAAGCAACTCCTGTTACAACCAGAATAACAAGTCAGATTTTCGTGCGCTAGCAGCAAGAACGAAAGCTAAGACCAAGTAAAGATCAACCTTTCTTTCCTTCATAAGAAGTGTGGAAGTATGTCGGTATAGCAGAAATAAAAGCTCCTTCAGTTGATGCTCCAAAATGCAATAGTATCATTTTGAAAGCATACAATGAGAGAGCTCCTTTATCTTTGAGCAGGTACTATAGATTGAGCGAGGACTGTTTTAATGCAGAATCAAGGCCTCGACTAACTGTAAAACTCAGCCACATCTATACAACAAGAACAACTACTAAGCACAATAATGCCGCTACTGGTACTGCTGCCATTACACTTGGAACAAGAACAACATGTAGTTGGGACAACATGTATCCCACCACCATCAGCACTACTACAAATTTTGGAAACAGTAATGCCAATATAACAACAACTAATATCATAACCAGAAAGACTAACAATAGTAGTAGTAATCATGATAATAACAATGACAATAACACAGTATCAATCAATTCCTGGCATCTACTAGGAATGCGAGGACAAGGAATTTTCGTGAAATGTAAAATCCTTACGGATGTTTTCGCATCTGAGGTTACCAGAATGCTGCCAGGCTTAACTTTGCTCAACGTTTCTGCAGCCTGAAATGCCTGCAAAAACATTGGCCGGGATCAAATTTTCTCAGAACTCCTAAAATCCTGGCATTTATGGGGAGTGCCGGGGGCAAGAAATCTTGGGGAGATTTGATCCCAGCCGATGTTTTCGTATCTGAGGCTACCAAAATGCTGCCACGCTCAAATTTCCCCAACATTTCTAAAGCCTGAGAAGTGAAAACATTGATCCCTGCCGCAGCGATCTGATTTCCCCAAGATTCTAACATCCGGGCATCTACGGGGAGTGCGGGGGCGGATAGTTTCTCAGATTGTGGGAACTTCGGGTAAATTTGATCCCTGCCAGTGTTTTCGTATCTCAGGCTTCAGGAGCTTTGGGGAAATTTGATCCCTGCCGATGCTTTCGCATCTGAGGTTGTCCACCTCCCGTGATCCACTGCTTACAAAAAGCAAGCTAGGGTGGATCATGGGGGAGGAGGGCGTGAGAATGAATATGTGTGTGTATATATAAATTATATATATATATATGTATGTATATATATATATGTATATGTATCCAATATTTAGATATCTCACCACCTATCTACCTACCTACCTACCTACCGACCTACCTGCCTATCTGTCTGTCTATCTGATATAACAATGTCTGTATATAACATGTAACATATGATATATTGATCCTAGCCGCTACTGCGGTGAAGGGAGTAGAGAGGAGAGAGACATCGACGTCGGCACGTTCTGAGGCCGCGGCCGCCATCTCCCCGTTGCGAATCCTCATCTCCCGCTCGGAGCCTGTCACTGCTATTTCGACAAGCACACAAAGGCCCTCAAACTAGAATCATGCGGCATATCATTATGGCATAGTATGGTATGTTATTCTAGTACCCTAACCCCCCAGGTACCTACTATATAGGGTACTAGAGCCCCTAGGGCCCTATATAGTAGGTACCTGGGGGGTTAGGGGTATATCATAGTATGTTACAGCAGATTATGGTACCTGCCACCATAGCAGCCAGGCCCTTCTGCGCATTCCTGGCCGCAATGATTGAGGACAGCTCCCAAAAAGGTAGGGTTTTAGGGTTTAGGGGTTTAGGGTTTAGGGTTTAGGAGTTTGAAATATCTGAAGAGAGAAAGACTGAGGAATCTCAGACGCCAGACCTTTGGCAAACACCAGCAAGGATCTCACAAACCTGAGAACAACGGGAACTTGTGGCGGCTTGTCCACTTCGACTTGGGATAGAGTCTCTGAGTTGTAGAGGGTTGGACAAAGCTGCATAGAGTCACTTCGTAAGACTTCGGCCATTGGCATCAGCAAACCGCTCAGGAGGCCCTTCCTGTACCTCGCAAAGGGCCGTTCACTGATCTGACGGTTTAGGGTTTAGGGTTTAAGGTTTAGGGTTTAAGGTTTAGGGTTTAGGGTTTGGTGCTCTTGGATGTCAGTGCCTGACAGTCGCCGATTGTGTGTACAGGGTCCGCCCAGGCTCCACCTAGAGGCGTGAGGCGAATCGTGTGATTCAGTGTCTGAGTGCTTTTTCGTGTTTTGATTTAAATGACTTGGGGCATATTCTCGGTTTCTGCTTGCTTGCAACACGTCTCCTGCCTCGGTGTAACAGCAAACCTCGTCGATTCTGAGCAGGCTCTGACCCGTCCTCAGAGAATCAGTCCAAGTCGCGAGCAGAGTCTTTGAGATTTGCTGTGGCAACTCTGGAATATTGTGGTGTAATTTGGCAGGCCTTCCATTCATGCATTTACTTTGCAGATCGTTTCAGACAGGTAGGTCCAGAACTGGTTCCTGCCATGAACTGTGAGGCGACGCCTGCAGGATCAGTCTCTGGCTGAGGAATGCCTCCGATGTCTACGTGCTCTGACAGAAGCCCAGAGAGCCCAATACCCCTCAATTAAGGAATATACCTTAAATTATGGAGGCCTGAATATTATGGTTTTAGTTTAGGGTATATTCCTTAATCAAGGGGTATTGGGCTCCCTGGGAGATGCCCCCGCTGGCCTCCCCAGATCCCAATGTGCCTGGTAGGCAACAGACTGAGTGGAACAGCAATGCTCATAAACTCTGCCACATGCCTCTTCTACGCAAACCACGGTCGCACGGGATCCAAGGCGCCTAGACACAAACACAACGCTCAGGGTCATAACAACTGGTACGAAAGACAAGTCCTGCTCCTGAGACCCGAGCTTTTCAGCAAATTTTGGAGTACGGTACATGCCTAGCTCACACATCACTCCGCCCCGCAAGCAGCACTGGCAAGGCTCCAATCAAGCAACAAACTTGCAGCAGGCTGCAGTAGAATAACCTTCGTATGTCCATCGTCTGCTGTTCAACACCTCAGGATCTTATGAGTAGGCCAGTCAGCACGGAATGCGGCATGCGCGAAGACCAACAGCTAAGCAACTTCTAGCAAGCTTGCCAACATGTGAACGCTGCTTGTGTATCCTTGCTCGAACATACAGCGGCCTAGAACTTCTGGTTCCGAATTTCTGGGTGCGGGACGGTGAGCTGGAACGGGCTATGGAATGCTGGGTCGTGCACAGATCTTGCTGTTCACAGTCTCAACAGATTTCACCTCGCAGCTTTGAATGGTACAGTGGGCAGTGGAATGGGCCGACGATGCTAAACCCTAAACCGGCAAAGCATGGATCCAGAACTGTGACTCTGGTCACGGCTATGTGCCAACCTCAAGTCCCCAAGGGCCCATGGCTTGCAAGACTGGACTTTCTGCCCAGAGCTATGAACGTATGTTATAGCCTATGATCATTGATCATATTATACATCTTCGGATCTTCTGGAGTATAGTTAAAGATAAACTCTGTTGTAACCCTAAGCCCTCAACCCCTAACCCCTAAACTCTGAACCCCAAACCCTAAACCCTGAACCCCTAAACCCCTAAACCCTAAAGCCCTAAAACCCACCGGATCTCCTTTTCTCGACTATGGCCGCCCAGGCGCATATTTCAGGTTGGGATCCGGAAACTTCTGCAAGAAGGCCGCGGTCACAACACCCTGAGCGCACCAATGCACTGTTTTGAGTTCTAGGGTTTAGGGTTTATACTAGATACTTTGTCGGTATGACGAAAATTGCGGATCATACATCGTATATATTATAGACTCTCCAAATGACTATATGAGCTATGATTTCAGCGGGGTGCCAAACAAGTTCGAGATGATCTGCTGTCCTTACATACGACCTAGATTGAGATGGGCACCCGTGTGTCCCGCACAGAACTATCAGATACAGCCATCGAGATACGGTTGATGATATAAATCCTGCATTTCCCATTAATAAGGACGAAATCATAATTCCCATAGTTTAGGGTCCTTAAGGCTGCCTTAAGGTAATGCAGGATCTGTATCATGAACAGTATCACAAACTTGATGCATCTGCGAATGGGGGTCGCAACAGGCTAAGCTCCGGACCCAATCGTGCTCCAACAAATGCTGGTTATTGTATAGTGGATGTGCCTGCAGGGCGACTGCAATGCCACTCCGACATCACCCCACGTTCTTGTAAACCCCCATACATATACATACGTATATATATATATGTGTGTGTGTACATGTATATATATATATACATTGATAGCCCAGACAGACAGTCAGATAGACAGACAGACAGCAATACGCCCTCTCTCTCTATATATATATCTATCTATCTATCTATCTATCTATCTATCAGTGTAATACTATCTACACCCGAATTGATTGGCCCGAGCGGCCTCGGAAAGTGACGCGCCATCGGCGTTGGACATCCACACCAAGTGAAGAGGGATCAGTGAATGGCCAGGCTGCTTTCTTGCATCTTCGTTTGAAGCCAACGTCAATCACTGCAGTAGACTTCAACACACTGAAGCGATTTGGGACTCTGCTGCACAGCTTGGATGCAAAGTGCCATGCGAGTCAGGCGTTGTACATGCTGGTAGGAAAACACAAGGAATCTGCAACCAGATACATGTGATTGCTCAAACTAACCTTGAGCATGTCATAAGCGGCCTGTCACAAGCACTAGGTCCACGATTCTCGCTGATGAAATTATTGACAAAATGTGAATCTTGGCCAGGTGCATTGTGCTAGCACTGGCCATGTGACTCCATATTATTGGCAACAGGGGAAAGCACGCCTGTTCAAGTCCAGCCTCAGACACCATGACGAATCAAAACGAAATCAGAGCAATCAGACACGACGCACAAGAGGACTGCTCTCCAAAGACCGGTAGTACTGAGTACTGAAGTATATAAGACGGAACAAGCTCGAGGAAAAGCTGCCGTCAAAATGGCTAGTTGGCCGGAAGAGAAGAAGGAGCAATACTTTCAATCCTCTTCACATGACATAGTGGTACAGTCGCTAGTCGCAAAGTTAACATGAACCGCATGAACTAATCAGCATCCAGCAACGCCGATCGGGTATGCTTACAGCAGGGGGATCGTGTCAAAAGGTTTTCGACACTTGCGCAGTCTTCACATAGACCGTGCGGGACAGCTTTGCCATCATGTAGGGACAGCTGCATGCTGACCACAAACCAAGGTTCAATGCTACGCTGCCTACAAAGTCGCGGAGGCTCGGCTGGCTTCGACCTGGCCTTTGGGCTTCCACGTTGGGTTCCGGGCATGGCATGGGCCCCAGAGACGAAGCTGCAAACACGTCCCAACCGAGACATGGGGCAGCCGATGAGGGAGTACCGAGTACTAGCATCAACAGCGCTGCTTCGCCGTCATGGTAGCAGCCTCGGCTGCTGTTCCGGCCCACGAGGGCACGGAAGGCATGACACGGCCGTAGCAGGGCTCAGAACTTCAGCTTCGCAACCTCAGAGTCGAGAACGCAGCGTGCCGACGTTCTGCATTGACATCTGTGATCTTTCCGTCGCGGTTCGGGTCTGTGCGGAACCGCAACCCCCAAAAACTGCTGCAAGGCTACGCTCATAGCAGCCGCAGCCTGATTAAAAAATATTAAAAATGGAGGAGCAGTCTTATCCCTTGGAGTCGCCAGAAATCTCGTCAAACGAGTTCACTGTGTATCTCAAGAAGAACGGTAGCAGACTTGACTTCGACAGGTCCTTGCGGATGCGATTCCGCAAATTCTACAATCTGACTCAACGAAGCTGGCGCCTGATCAACATCAGACTTGTCTTCGACAGGTCCTTGCGGATGCGATTCCGAAGATTGCAGAACTTGACTCAACGAAGCTGGTGCATGAATGAGACGAGCGAGGTCTGCGGCTGTCTGTCCGCGGGAATTCCGGAAATCTAGCCGTGCTCCCGCAGCAATCAAAATGGATGTTGCTTCGAAGTATCCACTCAGAATGCTGAACATGAGGGGAGTTGCCCCCGAATGGTGATAGGCCAATAATGTGAGACGCGAAGGGCTTATCCTGTGTCGCAGGCCTCCGAGTGTGAGGACGAGCCACCAGGCAGTGTCCTTCATCATCCTTAGTCGGAACTGCTCGTCCACATCAGCTTTTGCTTGAATCAAACAGGTGATCGTTTCGGCATAGCCACCTTGAAACATCAGAGCGAAGTGAAGGCAATGCTGCAGGCTCGTTGAGGGAACTAATGCAAGCAGCTCCTTCATTGCGTCAGCGGAGGCACAGGCACAAGCTACCTGAAGGGGAGTCATCCCTGGAAAGCAGCGCCGAGAAGAGTCAGCCCTTGCTTCGAACAAGATGCGGACTCCAGCTGCATTGTTGGCGGCACATGCTCCATGCAAGGCAGTTGCAATCGTAGTGTCACAGGCATTGACATTGGCCCGGGCTGAGATGAGCAACTTCAAGGCATCGTTGCTGTGGTAGAGCGAAGCCAAGGAGAGCAACGAACAGCGTTTGGGCAAACTTCTATCCTTCTTCTCTTTGGCGATGTAGTCATTGGGATCAGCTTGGCTCTCAAGCAATCCTTGCACTAACTCCGAACTGCCGTTCACAGCTGCAAAGCAAATAGGAGACCAGCCAGAAGAGTCACGCTCCAAACTGCTGCGAAAGCCATTCTGATGGAGGAACCTTGCCGGCTCAGATTATGGTACTCCAACTGACGACCCCGGCACCAACACAAGCTTAACCTCCCTTGGAGCCCATCTAGACAAAAGAGCGACAGGGTGACAAAACACTCCTCTCAAACGTTTCTCGGGCTTATCCGTGCCGATTGCAGGTCCAGAAACCTCGCCAGCACGAAATCGCGTGGATGTTGGAACGGATCCATGTTACCGGAAAAGCCAGGAACCAGCCCGTCCACGGGTTCTACGTCGAGGCCCTGCAGGAAAAACGCCCCTTGTTCATTCAACAAAAGCCGATAGTTGTGCAGGTCCTCCTTCTCCAAATAATATCCCAGCTTGTTCCAAACCATCTGCACCATCATGCGCCCAATCTTGATCCTGTCAGCTTCGCAGGTAAACTCTCCCTTCCCAGGGGCCCCTTGTGCGTTTTGAACATCGAAGATCATCTTCACATGTCTGGCGCTTTCCACAGCGATGGTGTAGCCATCATTCCTTGCCGCCAGCTCTCGTGCCACCCTCTCCGCTCGACACCATCCTATAATGCGCATGAGTTTAGGGTTTAGGGGTTTAGGGGTTTAGGGTTTAGGGCCATTGAACCGGCAAAACGTGCGAAGCACTTACAACATGGGACGAAGGGGCTTCTGGACACTTCCCCATCCCGCCTCGCTCACGCCAAGTCTGCAAGGAGAGCACCTTCTTCTGGTCTGCATGCTCGAGGGCAGGGCAGAGAATAACGAAGTACTCGCACTTGGCAACATAGGAGGGAATGCCCTCTATCGCAAGTTGTCGTTGAGCCTGAGCCGAACTAGCCTGTGGGCAGCTTAGATAATCGTACCACACATAGAGAGGCTTTGACTCGAAATCTGCCACCGTGGGGACAGGCCTGCGGCCAAAGAAAATCTCTTCTGCAATGGGAAGACTTACTTTGATAGTACCTGCAAGCAGATTCCGCAAGGCCTCTTGCAGCACTTGCAGCTGCTGCTGCTGCGGGTCCGGATGCGCGCTGCCAAGCCACTGGTGCGACACAAAGAAGGCCCGGCCCAAGGTCTCATCAAAAATTGAAAGACCATCCGCTTTCAGCATTTCTTCGTGGGACTTCAGGGTCCCCATTGCCAGAAAGTCGGCCATTTTCACTGTGAACATTGGAAACTCTGTAGCTGCATCGAACTCTAAGCCGGACCTTCTCCTGCTCCTCATCTTCACCACCTCTTCCTCGGGGAGGGCATGGAGATTGGCTGCATACTTCGCCAAGCCTGTGTCGACCATCCGTGGCCCACTGGACGCCTTCAGCGGTCCAGATGAATGCTTGGGCCAATGGCCTGCTGACATGTTCACTTGATTTTCCGAGGAAACCCTAAACCCCTAACCCCTAAACCCTAAAGGCTTTGCAGCAGTCTTCACAGCGGTGGCAACAATCTGCAAGCGAGCTGAAGAGACGAGGCATTCAGAAACACATGGGGGTTTCTCTCCGTAAGCTCCACGCAGGCATCCAGGCAGACGACTTGATTGGCCTGATGTCTCTGCGATCGGACATAACTGCGATGAATTTTGACTTCACTCCGCAATCGACAGATACCACATTCCGGGCGGAGAGATCGATGGAAAAATGGATTCCTGGATGCTGGGGAAAATAGGGGGGCCCTAAACCCTTATAGAACCCGAATCTTGAGTACAGAGGAAGAATATGTAAGCTAATTATGATAATTGATGTATGTATCAGGATCCAACAAAAAGCCAGTCAGATCCGCCAGAGAGTCGCAGTGGGTTGCGCGGTGGGAGGGGGGGGGAGTGCAGCGGCAGGCAGGAAAGTTTCTTGCTCTCTTGCTCCTGATGCAAGGAAGGCATGCCCTGCATTTCACATTCTTGGAAGGAACAACCGTTGCTTGCGAACAGAGTCGCTCGGCTGCTTCCTTTGCTTTGGCTAAAAAATAATTTAAAAAAATAATAATGATAACAATAATAATGATAACAATAATAATGATAACAATAACAATGATAACAACAACAACAATAATAATAATAATAAATATATGTGTATATATATATATATATTGGAAACAGGATGGAATCAGGTCCAGGTTGCCGTCCCACCGGGGTTTCACAGCGAGTGGGTGTGCGGATCTGAAAGATGTAGCAAGCGTTTGTCAAGTAATGATAAGTGACAGAAGGCGCGCGGGCGCGCGGGTGGGTGGGTGTGTGTGTGTGTGTGTGTGTCTGTGTCTGTGTCTGTGTCTGTGTCTGTGTCTGTGTCTGTGTCTGTGTCTGTGTCTGTGTCTGTGTCTGTGCGCGTGCGTGCGTGTGTGTGCGTACGCAAAAAGGACGTATTTCGACTGATTCCGACCAAATAACTACTGTCCGGAAGCAAGAATTGTTCAGGCTCTGGGGTCGTGTCAAAGGAAGGCAAGCAGCCAACCGCGAGCCGCAGCTCCGTCGCTGGCTTCGTCACCAGCTGGAACCTGGCAAAGACTGGGCAGGGTTGTCCCGACACTTAACTTAACTCACTTCTGTTTAGATCTATGTTTGCATTTTATATTGAAATCTGAAAGACTGTAGAGGATAGTACAGTATAGTACAGTGCAGTAGGGCATATTATATTCTGATACTATAGTCCAGTTCAATAAAGCACGGTATGGTAGATGTTGCCACGACTGGGGGCGGCTGCAGCTTTTGTTGCGGGCGGTCTGTCTGGCAGCGGCTGTCTGCGCACATCGTTCTGTGCGCTCATTACGAAATATGCAAACACGGCGCTGAGCAAGTGAATGCTTGTCCTGCCCTGATTTGGACCCTCGAGCGGACCTGGAAAGTTTCTGTTGCTTCGTGGCCCTCTGTAGGCGATATCATCCGGATTTCTGCGTCTGCTTCTTGCCCGTTTGCAGCAAGATCAAGCCCAAAAAAGCGACGCTCTTCTCGCTGGCCGCCCACTCCGTTCACTGGCGCAGAGGCTTTGAGGAGGTCTTCCTTGGCGAAGACCACGGTTCGTGGAAGCCAGCACTCCGGGCCCAGCTGCACCGGGAAGTTGACAACCATGTGGCAAATATGGCAGTCAAAAACACAGCTCTTTCCCTCACAGATCACAGCACCAGGCTCAAAGTCGCATGCAGCAGTGATGGGCCAGCGACGCTTCTCCAATTCCGAAGGAGCAGCTGCACCCAAGCCAGTGCTTTTGCCGAAGTCGAGGAACTGCACTGTAGGGTGCTGCTCCAGGAGATAAGCTCGCGGGATTGGCTCCACCTCGGCGAGCCTTCGTAGAAGCACCTCCAAGGGCCAATACTTGCAACCGCGGATGGAACCTCGGCATGTGGATGAACCACACTTACACGGCGAGAGGTCCATTCCAACGGTCTGCAAGTCAATGTCGAAGAGCTCATAGTCGGCAGTGAGCTCAGTGCCCGGGCTGATATTCTTGAGGGCATAAACTCCGTAGTCACCGATTGACTCATTCCAGAACTGGGTGCTTGTATAGAAGATGTTTGGCTCACAGCTGTGGTTCGTGAAGCTGTCCACCTCGCCCATCTCGCGAATGTTCGGCCGAAGGAGAGAAGAATGCCCGAAAACATCGAGCACGTACTCCACACTGCCATATTGCAGCAGGACTTTGCCCGGAAGGTCGGGCAGGATGTGAAACTTAGCCCGGAAGATTAGCTCGCCTTGGCGGATAGGTTGAGTGGCAACGAGGCCCTTGCCGCAATCCTTGTCCCGGACCTCCACCTTCTCGATTAGGGGGACATCAAACACCTTGATGAAGTCAGGTCCTTTCTCTGCCTGGCCCTGGGCGCCCAACTTCACGTGCAGCTTGTCGTAGCCGTAGCTGATTTCAGACGATGCCATGCCTCGTAACAGTCTGATGAGAACATCAGCCAGTGCAATGACGGCCACGATCATCAGCAACATGTACGCATAGCCAGTCCTGCCGCCTTCATCGAAAATGTACCGCCCCAACGGGGTGAAGAAGGCCCTCGCTGCTGCATCAGCAAGGGAGGACATTACGAGGATGTTTGGCTGCGAGAAGACTGACATCGGGCTGCTTGCCTCAATGGCGGTACCTTCCCCCACGCTCGCGACGCAAACGAGCGCGGGATAGATCAAAAAGTCTGCTGCCAGGGCCGCCGACATCCCATGGGTTCTCAAGAGCAGCACTGCTCCAGCTGCAGCCACCATAAGCATGATCCATGTGGCCACTGCGTCGTCCACAAGGCCGCTCTCCTGAATGGCCATGAGGCCAGCGCCGGTCACGGCGGTCCCCGCGAGCACAGCCCCAATGCCTCTGCCAATTGCATGGTACCCCCACCCGCCGTCCACTTCGAGTAGGAGAGCGGTGGTCGCTTCAACCGAGGAAGCTACTCCAAAGCAGAGAGAAAAGAGCACCAAGCAAAGAAACACGACTGCAGCACGGTTGCCGCGGTGGAAGGCTGCATCCTGTGCTCCCGCCTCAGAGGCGTTCTCCCGCCCGAAATCCTTTGGCGAAGATGGGATTGCCAGCACCAGGACAGCAGCCATGCAAACGCCAAGGAATGCGACTGCAGCTGACACTGCAGACACTGCAGCTGTGCTGGGCAGCAAGGGTGTGTTGTAGCCCATGCCCGGCTCGGCTCCGAACTTGCTGCTCAGCAGGGGGCCAAGGCCCATGCCCAGGGCATACGCAGAGTACTCCAGGACTGCGGCTCGTACCTGCTCATGTGCGGGGGTCTTCTGGCGCACGAGGAAGTGGATCATCTGGCCAGCGCCCTCGAACAACCCCATGGCAATGCGCAACCCGAGCAGCTCAAGCTGCGTTGGGGTGCCAGAGGCAAGCAAGCTCGCCAGCGCCACACCGAGCCCAGCGTTTGCAATCACAGGAAGGACAATTGCAGCGTGGATCTGACTCGGGGACATCACGTGCCAAGCCAGCCTCGAGAAGCAAATGCCGACCATGAGGCCTTGGTTTCCCAGTAGCCCTTTAAAAATTTGGGTGCCCTTTTTCCTACTAATTGGTTTTAAGAAGGGAACCCCAAAAGAAAAAGGGCAAAAGGGTCCTACTGGGCAACCTAGAGGCCAATGCCGTTCGAACCGATGAAGAACCCAGAGGCGGCAGCGCCCCCGCCGGCAGAGCGGCTGAGGTCGTAGGACATGGGGATCACAAAGGAGTACTGCATTGCTGCCACCAAGGCCACGCCTGCCCCCAGGAGCTGATACGCCCAAGAGCTCGAGACGCCCCGAATCGTCACGCTGTGCATCAGTACGAGGACCTCAAAAGCCAGCACAACAGAGCTGATAATGACCACCATGGGAACAGCCACCGCCGTGTTGCCGCCTTTTTCAGGGCCTGGATGGTCCAGAGAGTCAAGGTCAAGACGGTCTGCCCGCATGGCGGATGAGCATGTAACTAAAGGAATTAGCAGACCACATGAGCGGCTGCAGATCTTCTGCATCCAGCCCATCGAAGACGCTTGAGAGCCGCAATACTTCCACGAAAGCGAAACAGCAACAGTGTAGCACTACTACTGCTTCTGCTAGTCCAACACCTACAACTCACTGTCAACTATCAGGGATTCAGGCTTTTCGCCAAGACCAGCTCACCAGCTTGTTCCTGTGAGGCCGTCGCACCTGATGGCGTTCGAGTTGATCTCGCTCAGCGCCTGCTGGACAGGTCAGCGCAGCAATGTGCACATGTGAGCCGGCATGCAGCAAGGACGTCAATCCAATGAACCACGACGGAGACCTCCGCAGTCTTGTCGTTGGGTCTGTTGCGTCGTTGCGGCTACGAGCCTCAACAACTTGTACTGCAACGGCATGGGTGTCCCGAAAACATGATGTGAGCTGCCTGCTGCACATTGTCATAACTCAGCCAACCCTAAACTCTCTTTGCACAGACTTGTACATGCCCCTTCCTGGATCTCAGAGCTTCTGCAGTCGTGGCAGAAACCCTATGAGCCTCTGAAACACCTGAATATATAATATAATATAGTAGAATATAATATAGATATTTTATAACATAATATAGTATAATATAATGTAGTATAATATAATATTATGACTCACGGAGGTGCCTGTCGAACCTGGAAGCCGTTTAAGAGAGTCAACACCGTCAACACCCGTAAAGACTTGGTTCCTGAGCAGCCCTTTAAGAATAAGGGTACCCTTTTTCCTACTATTCGGTTTTAGTACAGGGGCCCTAAAATAGAAAGGGCAACAGGGTACTACTCAGGGACCCAGAAGACGGAACCGAAGCCGAAGTCGCTGTCATGCAGCTGGCCCGGGCCGGAACATCACCCTCAGCCTGTGTTTCA